TATCTCTATTATTTGTTATAATTATTTATAATTGTAGTATTTGCTATTATATTATAGGTTAGAATAAATAAAGTTTATTGGGCAAATTTTTTGTAAGTTTTTTAACAATGATCTTTATGTAACACTTTTGACAATTGCATCCATTTGTAATTTATAATTTTTTTTAAATATTAAAATCTATTCTTAGTCTTTAGTGCCGGGGCCATTCTACACAATCGAGTTGGAGTTGCATGTCCCTGAGTCACATACGAATAGAGAATTAGGTGCAGAATTTTTTTTTCAATATTTTTATTACTATTTATCACAATATATGAAAATATTATTAATTTTATTCTTAGTATGATTAATTTTTTTTACAAATTTAATGTCGAAAGATTGTGTTTCTATCATTGATATGGCTGGAAGTGTTACCCCCCACACACAAACACTCACACACACGCACTAACACTCACACATACACACACACGCACTAACACACATACACACGCACAAACGCATACATACATACACGCACACACACTGCAAACACTTTTCAATTCAGGTCTATTTATGATCAGTTTGCAGTTTTTCAATAGCAAGAAAATGATTTCAGATGAGTTTCTGGCTTCTGTCAGTTATATTTTTATTACTTTTTAAATAAATGTAATTTAAAATAATTTGGAAAATATTATTTTTATTATTATTTTGTTATTATTTTTCAAAAAGTATTTAAAGTTTTTTAGTTGTATAAATATATATACATTTACATTTTTAAGATGTATCAGCTGCAGTGCCCAAAGAGTGCATATGTGTGAACACCCTGCATTCGAACCTGGTGCTGCTACAGTAGAGCCAGGCGTCTTAACCATTGAGCCGTCTTGCCGTGTATACGTATCTGTATTTATATCATTTATACCATCCCACGGTGTATACATATCTGTGTACATGTATCTTCATTTATGCTATTTGTAATTTATTTTTTTACTATAGGCCATGCTGGAGTATAAGTCAGTTTTGCATAGGAATTTAGAGACCATATTTTTCTTACCCTTCTATCTACTGACATCAATGAAGCAGATGCAAGTTATCAACGTTAAAATGGAGAATGATTTCCAATTAAACACGGTCTTTGTCAATGATAATAACAGTTTGAGCTTTAAAATTACAGTGTTACTCCTTCCCAACCCAACGACCTTCCCCTCTATGACTCTCTCTTTCTCTCTCTCTCTCTCTCTCTCTCTCTCATTGCCGACCGTTTTGCTTCTGAAGGATTGTTTTCACATCAGGCGTCACTCCTGATCTACGACTCCCTCCAAAATCCCACCAACTACTTTAAAATCACAAAAAATTATCACTAAAACGTAAAATTTACGACTTCTGTAAAATTTTCCAAGTGTTTTCTGAAGTGTGGATTCAAGATGCCAGCAACTGATGTCATTAAGACGACCTCACCAACCACCAAGTCATTACGCCGTGTACAGATCTTAAAAGAAGTCAGCAGTCGTTTAACCTCCACTTGCTTCATTTCTTCCCAAAAGTAAATTAAATTTTTCAGTTTAACAATACAACGTGGTTCCTCCAAATTATATAGGTTGTATGAATATAATACAATTCAGTGCACATTTACTAATAGAAAATAATGTATACGTCTTGTGTATCTTCTTTTATTTGGTTGTAAATATGCTTTCTGGCTTTCTCCACATTCTAAATCCGATTTCTGTGACATTTTCATAGTCGTTAATAGGGAGTACCGCTGTATCATTTTACCGTAATTATGTTAATACTCGTTGCTTTGTTCGTCTAGATAGAGAGAAAGAGAGAGAGAGAGAGAGAGAGAGAGACATAGTCAAAAAGAGAGAATTTTATTATTTTAGTACATAGTCATATAATAATTATTATTAATTATTTATTTATTTAAAGTATGAAAAGCCAGATAGAATAATCGTCAAACTGGTAAACAATAAAATCGAAGTTTATGGTGGTAAAATTAAACTGTCTGCCCAGTTTACCGGAATAAGGTAACGCATGCATAATTGTCATTAATTATGATTATAATTATAGATAATTATAACAAAAATATGACTAATATTATAGATAATCTTAACGAATGTAGATAATTGGGATGAGGGTTTGGGCAACTAGATGGTGCACCGGCTAAGACGCCTGGTTTTTCGTTGCACTGACCGTGTAGGAATGCAACGAGATCCTGGTCCATCCATCACATAAAATGCGTGTGGTGCGTGCATTCTGGTGTATTTTCTCGTAGGCATTTAAAAACCCCATTAAACCATCTCTATTGTTGCGTTTCCTATATAGGAATAGTTGAAGATTATTCCTATAGGTTAGATTTGGTTATAACGAAAAAAAAAAAATTTTCCACACATCACTAATCCCTAATCGTTCAGGTACCTGATGTGCTACTGGCCGATTACGACGGCCACCCTAGCGACGATATGTATATTCAGCTCGCTATTTTTCTTCTCGTTTTTGGTCTGGCTCACGTGCTTCTTCAAAAGTAAAAGTTACTACCTTAGTAGTCGCAGTAGTAAAAGTAGTAGTAGTAGTAGTGGAGGTGGTGGTAGTAGTAGTAGTGACGGTGGTGATGATAATAGTGGTGGTGGTGCCGATGGTAATAGTAGTTGTGTGAAGAAGGAGAAGCAAGAACCAGAGAGTGAAAATATAGATGGTTCGTATTTTTTTGAAATTGTATGCTGAATGAATGAATGAATAAATGAATGAACGAATGAAAAAAAAATGAATGAATTCATGTACTAGTAGTATTAATATAATTTAATTTTTTTTAATGTGACAGTTGCTTTCAAAAGCTTATCTATTGGATCCAAAGCCAGTATAGAAGATATCAGTTTGTCAAAAAAAATTGAATGAATGGATGAAGAATGAATGCATGGATGAATGCGTGAATGAATGATTTGTGAATGATTGAATAAATGAATGAAAAGATGGATGAAGAATTAAGGGATGAATATTTACATTAAATGTATTACTTTGATTTGTATAAAAAACCCATAAACGAATAAATAGTGATAGAGATATAATTGGACAAACGAGCGAATGAATTAATGAGTGAATGAATGAACGAACGAACGAATAAAAGAATTATTGAATGAAGGAATGCTGGTATGAGTTTTTTTCTTTAGTCAACGAATAAATGAATGAATATTCAAATAAATAATGTTAATTTATTTTGTTAGTGTTAAGCATTTAACTTTTTTGGTTAATTAAACAAATAATTCGTTAATGCATCTGCAGTTTTTATTTATAAAATTTTTCAAAAATTCGAACAACCTCCAGAAAGAAATCCTACAAGCGAAAAATAAATTTAACAAAATCATTATTTTCATCAACTTAATAAGCATTAGCAACGTAGAATTTAAACTATAGCACCTGAAAATATCTTTAAATCAAATGAAAATATTGAAAAAAAGTGAAAAACCTTACTGCACCCATGTTAATCCCAGAATTGTCCTTGGGGCGTTTACAATTTTCGATGGCCCCATGGTGAAAAGAAATTTGTCTAATTAACACTAACTTTTGACTCGAGAATTGAGCTATAGTAAGTGTCTTTAATTAACATCGGTATAAGCATCACTAGATAATCGCCTCTTTTTAGAAGTTCGGATTTTAATCATTTTGTTTATTTGTGAATTTAATGGTCGTTAAAATCAGTTTATGTGGCGAATGTATTTTCACATATTCATGCATTTATACAAACAAACACACACGGGCGTTTTTATTATTTTTTTTTATTTAAATTTTCTCAATACGTCAATACATTATTTCAACATTGAAACATTAAAAAATTGTGCCAGGCAGAAGAAAGCAGCCCAGAATCAAATTGTTAATGAATTAATAAGCAGCGATTTTCAAAAATTTAAATTTTTAAAAGTTTAAAAAATATTAATAATTGTTATGATATAGCAAATGTTCATTTGTCGTGTGCTAGTTGATAATATAAAAACAGAGTGTATAGCAAAGTCATAAAATATTAAAAAATTATTATTAACAATAACATTATTTTTATTCTTTAAAAATCAGACTGGCAGACGCAGAATCTGTTACAAAATGCAAAAAGACAATAGGAAGAAATGAAAAAAATATAGATCAATTGCTCGTACTTTTCAAAAGTATCAACAACTCCCATGTGAATACGCGTAAAGCCACACGTCACACAAATTGCACATGATAAGTGGAGAACTCCTTGCGTTTGAACACGGTCACTGCAGCGGCAGGACCAAACGCCTTAACCATCTGGCCACTCGATATTTCAATAACAAATTATTAATTAAACACGCTCAATAGTAACTACATCAAATTTTAATTCTGATAGAAACAGAATTAGTAATATTAAAAACGATTCTTTGGTATGAAATATACATTTATGAAAGAAAGTGGAGGAAGAGAATGCAAAAATGAAGCCAAATCATAGCTTACTGACAGTAACGACGATGAAATAACATCAATAAAACTATGAGAGTGCTCTTTAAAACATCAACATTGTCCAGTGTGTTATTATTGCTGATACATTTTATTCACTTCTCACTCTCGCTTCCCTCTTCATATTACATCAAATATGTATTATAAATTTCTTGGGATCAATTTTGAAAAACATCGCTTGTGATGGCCGGGGATCGTATTGTAATCTGACGCCTTTTAGATCAGAGGTGGGTAAATTTTTAAAAAATTTTCCCCCTGGTCGAAAAATTTTGCTATTTAGGTACATATGCGGCCCTTCAAAAGTAAAATTGTTCTCAATACGGCCCTCACAGAAAAAAGTTTGCCCACCCCTGCCTTAAGCATTACACTATTCTGGAGTTTGATGCATATGTTTTTATATAAAGATATCTGTGTTTGTGCATTCTGCTAAATCATTATATGGTCGGTTATTAAACTAACTGAGAATTATCAACTATAAACCTACTCCTAAAAAATAGAATTCAAGCATTAAAGGAATTTTTCAAGTTATTGGTAATTATTTTTTTCAAGTTTTAACGATAGCTTATTCACTGATTATCATTGTTCCCAAAATTTACGATAAAATCGTTTTTAGGATTTTTAATCTCATCATCCTCATTAATTTTAATTTCTTTTGCTTGGGGAGCCAATTTTTTGCTTTTCCACCAGCGTTTTAACACCAAGTACACTAATTCTATAACCTCGACGGCACTAACAACGGTTATGCCTGTCCACAGTGAGAGCATACCTCCTATGTTCCCCGTCATGACTTGCCATGTGTAGGTAAACTTTTCATATTGATAATTTGGAGAGTTTTGGTTCATCACGAATTTGATTTCAAGTAGAGACTCTTGGATTTGGGTTAAGTTTTTTATAGGAAGAGGTTTGAATTGATTTTCGTAATCATCATATTCATTGTAGTTTCTGTACCTGTACCTCACGTCGTGATGGGTGCCGGTGCAGTTTTTGATGAAATTCCGGAAGATATCCATTTGAACCGATGGCTGGGGCCATGTTGCCGAGGACAGGTAGGTGTCGTACTTCGTCTCGTTACATGGAATCAGACACTCCTTCTTGCAAAAATCTATGTCTTCTTGCGAGATGTTCACCAAAGAGCAGATCACCTTGTTAAATGGAACCGAATCAATGAAAAATGAAAAAAATGCACTGAAGTTACCGCACAATTCCGCCTTGTCGATTTCATCTTCTGGAATGGCTAGCAAGTGCGTCATACAGCCACACTTCCTTTGGATGATCTTTTGCTGGCAGTAATCTTTGCACAAGTCGCTATTGTATTTAACGGATGATTGGAAAGGCATTTTGCTCTTATCGGTGCAAGAAACTCTGAAATTCATATCATATTAATAAAAATATTATTTCAAGAAATGATGAAATAGACTTTATAAATGAAGTTTGCCTCATTTATACTAACTTATTTTCGGCCTTATTCTGACGAATTACATCCGTTTGAACAATCTGGATGATGTTTTCAGTTCCAGAAGCCAAACTGAATCCACGTCTTAGATCGGGAGGAATGTCGGGATTGTGCACACTCACCTGCACTCCCCTTGCCTGGGAATTTGTAAGAGAAGATTTGTATGGGATCTGAACAACGTTTGGTGGGCCAATGTTTATCAATAATGACAATCCTCTAATGATAGTTGAGTTAGAAATTTGCAGGTCACTCGTCTTCAAAGTGTAACAGGTGTAATAATTTGCATTCCAATGTCTCGTGAAGTTGGCAGCTGAACACTGGCTGTCGATTTCAAACCAGTCCGAATCGAAAATCGTGCAGTCAGTTATAAAATTCGGACAGTCGTCTGACTTTGGACGATTTTTATTCAGACTCAATATTAAGCCCGAAACGGAATCAAATTTTTCAAAAACTTTATTCACGTCAATTGCTTTCAGCGACTGATTTTTGTTGGCTTCCATTATCTTCTTATATTCGTCAATGACGAGATTTTTGTGATTTCTTACCGAAGCAAAAAATGCACTCACAGGCAGCCCCGTGTAACCTTCAGCAAAGGGGTCCAAATTGCAGAGAGTGATGTCTGGAAACTGTACGTTCTTACCAATCTTCAAAATTTAGACTTAAGTTGTAAAAACTTTTTAAAATGCTGACGATTATTTCAATCATATTTCAATCATAACATTTACCTTTTCTCCGTATCGAGTGGTGATAGATCTCCTGTTGTACCTGCCGACTGATTCGTCGAGCAAGTAAATCATGAATGACATTGATACAACGAAGGAAAGAAACCAGAGTGTCTTTAAAAAAGCATCTTTCGATTTGAAAAATTTCGAAATTCCTCTTATGCTCGAAGTGTCTGCGTAGTTTAACAGCTCTAATTTTATACTGCCGTCCATGATTTTGTTATATTTATTTTTCTTTCAAATTTTCATTCTAGTTGATTACATTTTTTCATCAAAATACGCTTTCCATAAAATGATCAATTATATCAATCAATTGTATGTCCGCAAAACCAAAAAGTTTGTCAAAAAATTCATTTTGATTAAAATTTATAGTTAAAAATGAGTCTCAAAACAGAAATATTTATAGAGAAAATCAAGTTAAATCTTATTTTTAAATAATTACGACTACACACCTATCATTTTTCCCATCTACCAAATGTTCCGAAAGCTTAAATGATCGACTGGTGCAATATAAATATGGTAGAAAAGAAAATTGCTATTGTACATACATCCTGATGCAAACACACACACATATATACGTAAACACACACACACACACACACACAAATACATAAAAACTAATTGTAACCAAGACAGACGAATTTATCAGCATCCGAATCCATATAACTCGCTAAACGCTAAATTGGCAAATATTCATGTACATGCCTCGTTGAAATGAAACAGGCAAACCAATTAATTCGCTATCAATTAGACAAATACATATATAAATGTCATATCACATCATGTCATCAATAAAATAAACACACACACACACACACACACAAACACACATACACGCACACATACACGCACACATAATCAAGCACACATAACATCGTCGACTAAAATGAGATATGTTTAATTTGTTTCTGCCTTTAATAACCATGGCTACGAAACACACTCACACACAATCACACACACACACTCACACACACACTCACACACACACACACACATACACAATTCATCCTCATCGTTTATCATCGCCAACGTCATCGTCATCATCACCAACATCATCATCATCACCATCATCATTATCATCATCAACCAGCAACGACATCATTATCATGATCACCTTCATCGTTTGCGTTAATATGGACACACCCAGATTTTTAAATATAAAAATATACTAAAATACGCGTGTGTGTGTGTCTGTGTGTGTGTGTGTCTGTGTGTGTGTCTGTGTGTGTGTGTGTATGTGTCTGGTCTGTGTGTGTGTCTGTGTGTGTGTTTGCATTGGTCTCTTGTATGCGTGTATCAATATTCCATGAGTCATGTCGGTGGAATTCTGTAGTGAAATCCCCGCGTTGTGTTTTCTCAATTATTATACATTGTAGCCGGTAACCAGCAGAAGCGTCACTTTATTATTAATATTAAAATACCATTACGTCTACACTTAATGTGTTAATGGTTAAGTATGTATGTATGTATGTATGTATGTATGTATGTATGTATGTATGTATGTATGTATGTATGTATGTATGTATGTATGTATGTATGTATGTATGTATGTATGTATGTATGAAAAATGGCCAGCAAGCGACTGCAGATTTCTGAACTCTTGTGGTTTTTTTGCGGAAATATCATCGAAAATGAAAAGTTTAAAAATGCAGTTGTAGAATTTTACAATTCCGAAGAAATATCTACTGCCAAAAAATTGTTACTTAATGAATTGGATATCATAAAAAAAGATAAAAAAGAAAAATTATCACTCAAACAAGGTGGAAATAAAAAAGTTGACAAGGTAGTCGAGTTAGTTGAAATATTTAAATATATTATTTCAAATGATTTACAACAAAATTTGCCGACTTTTGTTATCTTGAATCCAAGCAGAGTTCCTCGAGAAGGGTTAGATATTTTAGATATTATTCAAATAAATAATGACAAAATGGTAGAAAAATTGAATGAATTAACGGAAATGAATAAATTACTGCTGTCAATGCACAACGTGCGTCTAAGTAACGAACAGGTGTCTGTACGCGACCGCATTAATAAATATAGCTTAGATAGTACAAACTTGATTAATAAATATCCAGTTAGTAATTTGCATGAACCTGAATTAGAAATAGCTAAAATCAATTCCGTAAACAATAACAATATACCTTGGTCAGACGCTGTACAAACACCAAGCGACATGTTACAAACCTATGCAATGGTCGTGAACAGAAACAAGAATAGAACCAAACTCAGTACAAGTTCTGTTGAAAAAAATATAAACGTTGTAAACACAGTTAAAAATCCATCAAATGAGAACATCAACAAAATGGA